TTGTAAACAAACCTATTATGGCCTGATTTAATTAATTTTAGTACAACACGTGAGCTGTTAAATACGACCATCGATACCCACTGCAAAATGTAAGAATACAAAATAATGTAATGAGTAATAAATAAGGCAATGGGCTTATACCATTCAAACGTTGGTGTGACCAGGAATAATGGAACAGTCCAAGAGTCTGTTCACCCCTGTTTGAATGGTATAACCCTTTGCTATATAAATGGCTGCAGAGGCAGTCTCGATCATTCTGAAACCCGTAGAAGAAGTGGGAAGTTGAAAAGAAGATAATAGTTCATATTAGAACAGAAGAATTAGAATAGTGAAATAAAAGTAAGGCTAGGGTACAGAGCGCCGGTAAATGGTAAGCCAAGAAATTGTGGTGAAGTGCAAGGTATAGTAATCCTGAATAAGGGTGAGGTACCGAGCACTCATTACAATAAGAACTTGGTTTCGGAACCAGGTGCAGGGAACCCAGTCATATATGTTGTACTTGTTAACAGAGAACCTCGGCTTTTGTGTCCCGCTGTTTATATATAAAAAAAAAATAATAATAAGGACAAGGATCCCATGTAAATAATAAATAATCATACTTGTACATAATTTTAATTCCCAGTATTAATTATAGGCTCAGATAGAGCCATAAGAAACGTTCATTTATATATATTGGACCCTGTATCTCCTGAAAATGGACCCTTAGGTTACACGTTACATTTTGGTGACAGCTGGTAAAGGGATACAGGGTACATTTAATTGCTGAAATCTGTTGAATTAAGTTTATGTTACTGTGTTAACTGTGTTCTGTCACTGTGTTTCCGAGAACACAGATCCGTTACTTGGTTCACATACAAGGTACAGAGTTCTGTGTGCACTGTGTTAGATACGTGTACAACAGTAAGATTCAATATAGTTGAGTACCGAGTATTTTTGTTTGGTTACTTAGTATATAGAAATTAAACATGAAGAATGAACAAGAATCAGAACTGTGGGCAGATCTTGAAGAAATTGACGTTAGACGACGACAATTAAGAGAAACGTTAGAAAAGTTAAAGTCTACGCCAAGCTCATTTAATGTTAGTAGGCCCTCTCTAGTTACTGATTCTGGTGTAGACTTGAGTCAAAAGACTGCCGACGACAGTATAGACGAGTTGATGGGTAAAGTTGACATAAACCCCACCATCAGAGCAAGTAATGTGAAAGGAGCTATGGGTGGATACGAAGAATACAAAACCCAAGCTTATGATTTCCATGTTCCTGGAAACAAAGATATTTGGGGAAGAGGCGATGTTTATACCACACCAAAGTCGGCTTACACAGGGGTGTCACTGGCTAAAACAGCATATACACCACGGATTTCAACGCCACATGTACACTGGAGTACGTTATGTGTAAGCTCAATGTCAACACCCACAAGTGTGACATGGAGTGTTGCAAAGGACAGAGAACCTATGCCGACTGTACCAAGTACACCATTAGGTGCAGCGTTACCAGTGAATGAAAACAGTGGTTATTGTCCTAGTACAAATACATTTGGTAAAACTGTGATGAAGCCTGCGACATTTGATGGTACCGGGTCCTGGATTGATTACAAAGCTCATTTCGAGGCATGCAGTAGCATCAACCTGTGGAATGATAGACAAAAGGGCTTGTACCTGGCAGCATCATTAAGAGGCCAAGCACAAACAGTTCTTAGTACATGTTTCACACCTCGAACAAAGGATTTTTGCGTGTACCAAATCACTTGGTACACCCCAAGCCCAAGCTTCGTGGTTGGGTGAATCTGCCATTGTGTGCATAATTTTTGGCAAATCATTACCAATGATTGGTCACAATTATGGACACAGGACAAGGTCACCAGACAATAATAGACCCTGATGTGCTTTTCAATTTCTGTGGAATTCTTTGCTTTCAGGAGAAATTTATCAATTAATTTTACCACCAAACACAAATATTTAATAATCTCCAAAAAATAAAATGCTCCTGACTTAAATCCATCAAAATAACATGACTATCTTCATACAGAGATTTTTGAATCTATAGAAATGAACCTGTATTGTGTTTGAAAACTACTCACTGTAGACGTCACCTGACAGGTAGATATTACCCCGAGGGTATAATTATCACATCTGGGCCTGTACAAAATGGCAAATGTCGAGGTTAAACTATCCTTATCTTGATTAAATAATAAGAAACACACAAAGATTTTTAATTAAATAGACCGATACACAAAGGGTTTAATTTCTCGTGTGAAGCATGTACTAAGTATGTTGTTAAACTTTTCCCTCGCCATTCGATTTGGTCCCTCGCTTCGCTCGGCACCAAATCTCATGGTACTCGGGAAAAGTTTACCAACATATACTTGGAAATATGAAGACAGATAATGCTTGTGCATATTGAGATTTGTGTGAAGCGTTAGAGGCTAGATTTGCACCGACTAATCAGACGGAACTATATCGAGCCATGTTAAAGGAAAAACATCAGAGGACTAAGGAGACTCTGCCAGAATTAGGGGAAAGTATACGACGACTAGCACATTTAGCGTACCCGACGGCACCACGTGAGGTTACAGAGATGATTGCTAAAGATCAGTTCATAGACGCTTTAACGGACTTTGATATGCGCCTAAGAATACAGCAGTCACGACCCAAATCTTTGAATGACGCAGTTCGACTGGCCGTGGAGATTGAAGCTTTTTGTAGAGCTGAACACCAGAGAAGACACGATGTTAGTTTTGCAAGAACAGCACATAGTGAATTAGAGGGGCAATCGGAAACTAATACAAAGGTACGGGAAGATTTGAGACAATTACGAGATGAGCTTCGGTCGTCACTGCGAGACCTAGAGAACAAAATAGCCACTTTGTCAGAACGCAAAGAAACCAGTAGACAACTTAAAGCAGATGAATTGAGTTCAATACAAAGTTCTGACCAAACAAGGTTCCCTTTTAAGTGTCATAACTGTGGTAGACGAGGTCACAGGGCTAAAGACTGTTATGTTAAAAAGAAAACAGAGATCAGTTGTAATAACTGCAATGCATGCACGGTATCCTCAAATGAGGCGGTAGAACAAAAAGAACTAGCCGAGGCTAAGCCAAAGAAAAGAAAGTCGAATACGAGTTCAGTCACTCAAACACGAGTTGATACACAGTGTGGGTTATTTATAAAGGCTAGTGTTAATAAGGTGCCTTGTACATTGTTAGTAGATACCGGGGCTACACTGACAATTTTGTCAAATAAAGTATTTGAGAACATGCTTAGCATTGAAGCTGTAGAACTGTTGCCCATAACTCAGAAGATAGTATTAGCCGATGGAAGGCCATTGCATGTGCAGGGTAAGTGCACACTGGACTTTATGATGGGGAATCAAAAGTTTACTTTTGAGACAGTTGTAGCAAATATCGAAACAGACGGTATCTTAGGTTTAGATTTTCTGAAGCATATTAGATGTTTGGTGGATGTTTACTCAAGGAAAATGTGTGTTGGAGGAGCTGAGCTTGAACTCCAACTAAAGGGCTATTTGGGGTGTTTCAGAGTCAATGTAAAAGACACAAGAACGATTCCACCAAGGAATAAAGAGATATGTCCTGAGCAAGTAATTGCATCTACGGACAGGAATAAACAAAAATTTGAGTGTAACCAGTGTGACAAAGCATTTGCAAGGCATTCACGTCTAAGGAGACACCAGAAGAGGTTACACTCAACCACTAGTCTGCAAGATGGAAAAACAAGTGTTCCATTGAACTCCAAGTCGGATGTTGTAGATGACCGTGATGGAAATTCTGAATGGCGAGAGGATCCATATGATTCAGTTTATTTGAAGAAACTTGAAGTTGGTAGAACCACTAGGAAGAAAACTTCGCCCAGTCTCCCTGGAGACAAGCGCAAGACAGACGAACTTATAGACAAGGTGCCTGATCAATCTGAAGACAAAGGTTCAAGCCTGGTAGATGATGGCAAGGATCATGAGGCGCCCATGGTTTTACATCACTGCCCCTGCTGTACGAAACCTGTTACTAGGTTGGATGCCAGCGCTCAGACGGACACAAGTCGTCACCAGAAGTCAGAGTTGTAAGAAAATACCAAAAGTATGGTGAATGTGTGGAGAGAGTTGAGGAAGACATTTGGAATGACTAATTATAGGGATGTACTTTGAAAAAGAAACAATGTACATAAGTCTATTTTTGTAAATACTTGAATAATTGTTTAACTGGGTATAAGAAAGGAATTCTTAACCTCGTTTTGTTGATCTTTTCATTGTCTAAAAATAAAAACATAACCAATGAACATGCGGGACGCAAGTATACAGAGGCGTGGGTAGTGTAATGAGTAATAAATAAGGCAATGGGATTATACCATTCAAACGTTGGTGTGACCTGGAATAATGGAACAGTCCAAGAGTCTGTTCACACCTGTTTGAATGGTATAGCCCTTTGCTATATAAATGGCTGCAGAGGCAGTCTCGATCATTCTGAAACCCGTAGAAGAAGTGGGAAGTTGAAAAGAAGATAATAGTTCATATTAGAACAGAAGAATTAGAATAGTGAAATAAAAGTAAGGCTAGGGTACAGAGCGCCGGTAAATGGTAAGCAAAGAAATTGTGGTGAAGTGCAAGGTATAGTAATCCTGAATAAGGGTGAGGTACCGAGCACTCATTACAATAAGAACTTGGTTTCGGAACCAGGTGCAGGGAACCCAGTCATATATGTTGTACTTGTTAACAGAGAACCTCGGCTTTTGTGTCCCGCTGTTTATATAAAAAAAATAATGATAAGGACAAGGATCCCATGAAAATAATAAATAATCATACTTGTACATAATTTTAATTCCCAGTATTAATTATAGGCTCAGATAGAGCCATAAGAAACGTTCATTTATATATATTGGACCCTGTATCTCCTGAAAATGGACCCTTAGGTTACAGGTTACAATAATTATTACGATTTTGTTATTATGACGTCACTTTGTATACGTCACAATAGAGTTTTGTTTTTCACTTCTGTCGGAATGATCTCAGGACAGCCTATTAGGAGATACAACACAGATCAACCACTTTACTTCAGTAGAAACTACAGAAAGTATCATGGAAATCATTTTCTGAAGGTGATCTTCTTTTTTATATGAAATATATGGAGAAAACGAATAGTATTCAAGCTCAAGAGTCCATTAAAGAAATATGAGCTGCAATTTGTAATTCAAAAGTACTTCAAAATCAGTGAAAAAGAATAATTATAAACTTCTGTTGTTCACATTTGCGTAGGAATAACTACTTAAAAGCTATGATTCAAGCAAAATAACACTATTGTCATCATGATTAATATTGAAATTTAATTGCACATGTGTCTTGTGTATCGAAATATATTAACCCCACAGGCAGGTAATGAAGGTATATTGCTGCATAAGTTGACGATTGAAAAGTTAAAGTCATCACGTTTATCATAAAGCTTGGTTGTTAGATTACTATTAACGTCTTTTCAAGTAAAATATCCAAAAAATGAAACAAATGTGTCAAACTCTGTAGTATCTCTTATTTCAAGCTCACCGGGATACTTAGTATATCGTATCGACATGAGAACGGAAATAACGATTGTTAATTGACAAGTCGTCGTCGACATATCTAAATGTCGAGTTTGACCACAGCAAGTGTTTTGTTCTTTTCACGTATAAGATTTTGGACAAATATGCTTCCTATGAATATACAAAAATAGATATGCTAACAACGGGGCGCAATTGGTATCGATGGGAATTCCGATAGATTGATGGAAGACCTGGTCTCCAAAAGCTACAGATATTATGTCAATATGAAACTCAAGCATCTTTTTAATATCAACTATAGAGTACTTGTGTGTACTATCAATATGTTTTTTAAAACAAAATAATTTAATGACCAATGACAGGAAGTCGAGTAAGTCTGTTGCGGTCAGAGGGGAGTTTCTGCTCGATTTTGTATTTACAAAATGGGAAGGGGGGGGGGGCTACTTCAAAACAACAAATTATATAATTGTTGTAACTTCATCAAATAAACTCTTCTCAGGAAAGAAAAGGAAACTTAAAGTGCAGTATTGATGAACAATACGTGAAAAACATGAATTAAGTTTATGTAATACAAGCAATCATTTTGAACTCTTGCTGGATGTAATAAATTTTATAATTAATTAAAAAGGTGGCATTGTTTCAAAATTGTTTTAAGTGTTCAGCCCAGAAGTATTTAATTTGCAGTTTGATCACAATTTGAATAGTGTTTAGTTTGTCTTTTGAAAATTAACCCATATCAAAATAATATTACTGTCCGTATTTATTTTTTTTTTATCCTTAATTTCTTTACTAAGCTTATCTCGATAATAATGACCCGGTGGATTATTGCTCTACGAATAATCGTCCCAATTGTTGACAATATTCTTGATAGAGAAAGATTAGGACGCCCATCCAAGAAGACGCTAAGCACCTCTCTGTTTGACAATTTGTCATTGGATAGTGATTTGTTCAAACATTTTTCATTAACGAAGCAGGAATGCCAACCAAACGGTCAACTTTACGCATTTCTTTCCGGTCATACTTGACAAATCAAAGATAATCATAATATTTAGTACAAATTGTGCTTTGGGTCTGGGAAAGGGGGGGGGGGGGGGGGTAGAGGAATTAGACATTAGATTTGACCCTTTTGATTTTACTTGAACTCAAATTGTAGGTTATAATATATTTTCACAATTACTTTATAATTCATGCGTGTGGTGTCGGGGGTTGAGGTGGCTACTTTTTCACGAAGATAATCTTTAACTATTAATTTAGTGCGTAATGACACCCCTATTGATTTTGTATTTTAAAGTCAAATCCTTCAATTTCAAAAGAAATTTCAAAATGTCAGAACTTTCATACCCCCTCCATATTTTCGAGTATGAGACCCTGCCCCTTTTTTGCGTATCAATTATTTCTTGGATGAATTAATTTAAAAAGATGCTACAAGCGTCTTAATTATCTGCTTCTTTAAAAGGGGAATAACAAAATCAAATGTCTCTGTTGTTTAAAGAAATTTGTCATAATGAAAAAAAGGTAATGACAACGAACACTGATTAGTCTCAGAAAAAAAATATACAAACAAATAAATTTGTAAACAGAGCACTAAACTCGGACATCTGTAAATTCCAGAGATGGGGTCAGTTGCCAAGGAGGAGTAAACACCCCCTGTTGACCAACTGATAGCATTTATTTGCTAACAAGGTCATTATAATACCCCAAAAAATTAAGCAAAGGGGCTTTTCAAACAAAATTTTCCTTAACATTACTTTATCCTTTGTAGACTGCTAAAATTTGATCGTACTCACAGCTATGTAGATTCTAACGAGATAATTTTATTGATGACCAATCCCAAGATAATCATTATCGTATGGAAATTTCTCCTTAAAATAAGTTATAGTAAGAAAAGATAGTAAAGGGTGAAGAAATGTCGTACGTTTTGATGTAACGAACTTTTGGTAAAATTTTATGATTATGAACTTTTTTTTAAAGTTATAAACAAATAAAATTAATATCATCAAATGTATATAAATAAGATATATATATATTTTTTTTTGCCAATGTGAATATTCTAATCGGTGACCTGCGATGGTTTGCTTTTTATAAAATCCCAGTAATTAAGATGAGAGTATTTCTTTGTGATAAGCTGAGTTATAGTACCAGTTTGTATGCTTTAGAAAAAGGTGCTCTACACAGTACACACGGGATCTGTGTACTTTTGTTTTAGAGAGAAAAGGGTAAACCTCTTGGAAAATATAAGTTGGTAATGTTTATGATAAAGAAGATGGGCGAAAATGCCGTCAGACTGCTTTACTTCAAATGTACAAAAAGCAAAATCTGCAAAAAAAATTCTCGATCGGCATGAATTATTCTATAGTTAAAAGTTAAACGGTTCTGGAATTATTTGGATATGAGCAATAAAATTTCTGCGTGTCTTTTATCATTCTTGACTTTTTTTTAAACATACACATGTACTGACATACTAACCATTTCACCACACTTTTCACATTAAATAACGGCATTAAAACTTTGTTAAATGATCCTTTAATAATTTATATTATAACCCATAAGGACCCATTTTCTGATTTGTTACGAAATAGAAATGTCGAAGTACTTCCAGAGTTACTACAAATAATTATGTTCCAGTTACCTCCCTTTTTTAATCTTTGTTCATTCCAAATTGTGGGGTTTTTTTTTGTTTACTCCGACAGGAGGCGAGCTATCGTCGTTTGTATTACCGACTAACAGATCCCCTTCAGCCGGTGTCCTTAGTCCGGGGTCGCTACCTGGCAGACAATGGTCCACTTGCCCAATTTTTTAAAGGTAAGTAGATAGGTAAATATTAGACGAGGCATCCCTCGAGTATCTGATTTTTGTATCTCTATAAGGCACCAAAAATTATTATCTTCTGATTTCTAAACTATTTCAAAAATGTTTTAAACATATAAACACCAAAATCTGTGCCCTGTCATGTAATACATTTCATTTTATAAGAGGAAACTTATTATATCAGCAGCATTTCCTATCACAGGTTCTAGGGAGGAAATTAAATGTTATTGAGGAATGTTTTCTCTGATCATATATAATTTATAGAATGAAAAGAAAATAATGTAACTTAATACGTATTATTCTATCATTGTAAATTATTGTCAATATTCTTAACATTTGTAACCTTGACCTTGGAGAGGACTTATATAGGCCATGCCTGATGTCCAATCCAATTATGTAATTTAACATAATAAAATATTGATTAAATTAAATAGAATGAAAGAAAGCAATCAATTGCAGATCTGTAATATTCCCGTGTTAAAAGTAATTTTGAAATATAATTTCTTAAAGTAAAAACGGTCATGAAGATTATTTCTTATTTGAAAAAAAAGAAAGTTCTGTGCATGGTAATCATGTGTTTTTTTTTTCCTAATTTTATATCATTATATACTGTACATTGATGAGGCTAATAGAAAAATACCATATAATAATAAATTATTATGTACTGAACTTTGATTTTACCTTTATTAGTGTATTTAAAATGATTATAATGATTCAGTTATTCGTTTTACCTTGACAAAAATAACTTTTTGGTTTGATTTTACATCTTCTCATATTGCTACCTCTTTTCGTCCGTCGTCGTCCGTCAACTTTTGAACATTTTCAACTTCTTTGAAACTGCTGAACCATTGTCAACCAATTTTGACATATAACATCAATGAGTAAAGAGGGACAAAAAAACATGAGTTTCATGATCCCTGCCCCCCTGGGGTCTGAAGGGTATGGCCAAAACCCGTAAAATTAATGCAATCTTTAAAAATATTTTTCTTTACTCCTATATACATCAAGCAGCCCTACTGCTGGCATGACTGTAATAAGCATTGAGCTCTCTACCAAAATTATGAAATTCATGGCCCTAGGGTCAGGGGTTCTGGTGCTAGGGCTGGGCTCTGTTGAATATATAGTGAACATGTATTATTTCTTAAGAAATCCTCTCCTCTGCTCCTAGGTAGATTAAACCAATGAGCTATGTACATCGTTATGATAAGGAAGGGTGCATCGTTCAAAATTATGAATTTAATGGCCCCAGAGGTTTTGGCGTTAGGACGGGGCTCTATTGATTGTATAGTAAAAATGTATAATTTCTTTGAAAAAGCTTCTCCTCTGCTGCTGGGTATTAAGCCGATGATCTAAGTACAGAGTTTTGATGAGGAAAGGTATCTCTTCAAAAATGATCAATTTAATGCCTCCTGGGTCGGAGCACCGTAGGGGAGGGGGTGTTTATGGCACACCAAATTCACAAAAATGAGCAAAACATAGTTTCACAGTCGATAAACTAGGTTTATCGGTTGCAAAGTATAGTTTACGGGTTGTAAAGTATAGTTAACAACGTTAATCTATATTTTACATCTGTAAACCATAGTTAACGCGATAATCTATGTTTCACAACCGTAAACTATACTTAACACCGAAAACAATTATTTGGAATTGCAAAACATAGAGTATCTTATAAATACAGTTTCACGATTGTAAACTATGGTTTACAACTCTTAACTATAGTTAACGATCGTAAATTATAGTTTACAGACGTGAATCTATGTTTAACAACAAAATCTATTGTTAACGTTTTATTACAGACAGATAAACTTAGATTATCATTCGTAAACTATACCCGGGTAGTTAACAACCGTTAAACATAGTTTTACAGATGAAAACTTTAGTTAACTATAGTTGACAGTTTGTAAACTATAGTTTACAGTCAATAAACCTAGTTTATCAATTGTGAAACTATGTTTAGCACGCTAAATTCACAAAAATGAGCTTATCATAGTTTCACAATCAATAAAACTAGGTTTATCAGTTGTAAACTATAGTTTACGAACTGTAGACTATAGTTAACAACGTTAATCTATATTTTACATCTGTAAACTATAGTTAACGCGATAATCTATGTTTCACAGCCGTAAACTATACTTAACACCGAAAACTATCATTTGCGATTGCAAAACATAGATTATCTGATAAATACAGTTTCACGATTTGTAAACTATAGTTTACAAACCGTTAACTATAGTTAACGATCTGATAATATAGTTTAACGATTTGTGAAACTATGATTAACAACTCTTAACTCTAGTTTACGATTGTAAACTATAGTTTACAAACGTGAATCTATGTTTATCAACAAAATCTATTGTTAACATTTTATTACAGACAGATAAACTTAGATTAGCATTCGTACACTATAATTAACAACCGTTAAATATAGTTTTACAGATGAAAACTATACTTAACGAATCGTTAACTATAGTTTACGGTTTGTTAACTATAGTTTACGGTCGATAAACCTAGTTTATCAATTGTGAAACTAGGTTTAGCTCATTTTTAGTGAATTTGGCGTGCCATAGGTGTTGTTATGAAACTATAATTATCATATACTGAAAATGTATTAATGCTTTGAAATCTTTTCTTTGGTGTTAATCAACCATTTATAATGAGCAAAGGTGCCTTTTCGAAAATTGTGAAATATGTATCCTTACAGTCAGTGATTCGTGTGGGAATGGGTCACCACTGATTACATAGTGGAAATGCATATTTCTTTTTTTCCTCTGATTTGCTTCTGGGTTTTAAGTAATAAAAGTAAGCATGCTAAGTGTATAGTTATGATAAACAATGGTACCTCTTTCATTTTAAGGAATAACTGTCTAATTTTTGGATTTCATGATGTGATCAATCGATTGGCTTGCGTGATAATTTGCATAAACTCCGAAGGCGTTTATGCATAAAATTATCACGGAAGCCAATCGATTTATCATCGTCATGAATACTTGAAAAATCTGACAGTTATTCCTTAAATTAAACTTTTTATACCCCGGTCCGAAGGAGAGGGGGGTATACTGTTTTACCCTTGTGTGTCTGTCCGTCCGTGTGTCTGTGTGTCCGGGTAGCTGTGTGTCCGTCCGTAACAAATTTTCGTCGCAGTTTTCTCAACAAGTACTCATCGCAGATGCTTGAAATTTTAACACAATCTTCTCTGAGGCATGCCATACGTTGGGATACATTTTTGTTAAAATCTGATGTCAACTTCCTGTTTGTCTGTGCATCTGTCCGTTTCATACATAACAAATTTTCGTCGCAGTTTTCTCAACAAGTAGGCATCGCAGATGCTAAAATTTTTAACACAATCTTCTCTGAGGCATGCCATACGTTGGGATACATTTTTGTTAAAATCAGAAATCAACTTCCTGTTTGTCTGTGCATCTGTCCGTTTCATACATAACAAATTTTCGTCGCAGTTTTCTCAGCAAGTACTCATTGCAGATGCTTGAAATTTTAACACAATCTTCTCTGAGGCATGCCATACGTTGGGATACATTTTCGTTCAAACCCGATGTCAACTTCCTGTTTCTCTGTGTGTCAGTCCGTTTCATACATAACAAATTTTCGTTGCAGTTTTCTCATTAACTATTCATAGCAGATGCTTAATTTTAGTACACTCTTTGTTGAGGCAAGCCATATGGTGGGATTAATTTTGAAATGAATCTGATGTCAACTTCAAATTTTTCTGTGCATCTGCCTGTTTTTGAACTTGTGTAAATTAACATGATAGTTGTTGATTCTCATCAGAGCGGGGGTATTACTAGTGAGAATTGGCTCACAGATTTCTTGTTAATCCTTCTTTAAATCGTGGTCAAAGGCATTGGAAATGTAAATATAAAATAATGAATGTCATTGCCTCTGGCTAAAATTAAACACGAACCAAATTCTATTGTTGGAAAGTTGGACCTATAAGTTCCATGGGCCTTTGTTACATTCAACACTCTTTTTCCTGAATTATCAAAGTTTCATAAGAATTAAACTACAAAGACAATCTGTCCCTGTTGATATAGTTTATGTAAACCATCTACATGTTACAGAAAACAAACACAGCAGCCAGAGTCCCGGATGTACGTGTCATGAAAATATGAATAGGTGCATTAGAAACGCTTTAATGTATTCATCACAACCACGGAACAACCTAAACCCTCCAAGGTATGTCAAGTTATTACGTAGGAACACAAAAGATTTTTGTTCAAAATAATAAATTTAAACAATGCAACATGTCTTTCCCTTTTTAGCTCAACTCGACGAAGTCGAGATGAGCTTATGCCATACCCCCGGCGTTGGCGTCGGCGTCCGAGGTTAAAGTTTTAGGAGCAAGTCCATTCCCAAGTAATTATAAGCCCTACCTGAACCAAACTTGCATGGATGATGCATCTAGGGATGTACCCTACCAGACTTGCTTCGGATGCTGGATCTGACCTACATTTTCCGGATGAGTGACCAGGTTAAAGTTTTTGGAGCAGATCCATTCCCAAGGAACTATAAGTCCTACCCGGATCAAATTTGCATGGATGATGTATCTAGGGATGTACACTACCAGACTTGCTTCGGATGCTGGATCTGACCTACATTTTCCAGATGAGTAACCAGGTTCAAGTTTTTGGAGCAGGTCCATTCCACAGGAACTATAAGCCCTATTTGGACCAAACTTGCATGGATGATGCATCTAGGGATGGACACTACCAGACTTGCTTCAGATGCTGGATCTGACCTACATTTTTCAGATGAGTGACCAGGTTCAAGTTTTTGGAGCAGGTCTATTCCCATGGAAGTTTAAGCCCTACTGGACCAAACTTGCATGGATGATGCATCTAGGGATGGACACTACCAGACTTGCTTCGGATGCTGGATCTGACCTACATTTTCCAGATGAGTAACCAGGTTCA